GGTGAAGTACCTCATGCGAGGATTACGACGGGGATGATATATGACTAGTGAGAGCATGTTTCTACAAGAGTAGATGGGATGGCTAGCCGTAGCCCTTACTTTATATAGGTGATAGGGGTAAGGTTTTACAGAAGACGGGGCCAATCTGACCACTGCCCATCTTGGTTTGTACGCCAAGATGATCTCTTGATGTTTAACCGGGCTCCGAGGCTCCCTCATATAGTCATCTTTCGCCAAGCTTCATGGGCTCTGAGGCAAGCCTGCCAAGCTCCCCGCCGAGAGGCCATCCCCGGTGTATTACACCATCAACTACGTTAGCCCGACAGGTGGGCCCAATAAGTCAAAACGGTTGTTTTCATGAGCAAATCAGACGATGAGTGCTCTCCGTTACTTGTTAGGCACAAAGTTGATGGTTGTGCTCTCCGTTACTCGCTTGTGAGTTGTGTGAAAAGTGATACCAAGTTATTACCCTATCCTCAACTGTGGTGGTTTCAGTAAATGCATCCTTCGGCTCCGAGCAACGCTCAAGACTATCCATAGTGGGGAGTAACTTAGAGTAGTAACATGCATATGGGAAAATACACAGGAGCTCCTGGGTGCTCCACACCCCTATACAAATATTAAATGTAAAAAATACCAAAAAATCAAAAAAAACTGAAATTTGAGGATATCAAACCTGGGTTCTTAATCTACTCCCGTGTGAAATTTCATGTAAAAATACCAGAAAACCTATCCAAGGTGAAGGAAATTTTGTCCGAACAAAAATCTGTCCAAACAGTTTTTTCTATACATAGGAAACTTTTGTCTTTTTGTCACGAATACGTTTCCTGGTATTTTTTCACGAAATTTCACACGGGAGTAGATCAGGACCCACCTCATGCCGCGGACTCCTACAGCTGTGCCGGCGACCGGAAGGGCAAAGGGCCGACGAGGAGGTGGTGAACATCTATCTTAATTTCAAGTTTTTAGATGTAGTTTGAACTTGCCCGCCGTATTATGTGTATTATGTGAACTTTGGTTATCTTTTGAAGACCCGGTTATGATCTTTTGATGAACCGATTGTGCATTTGTATGTTCGCTCATGATCTAAGTAGTTTTTATCAATGTTGCATGGTTTAGTATGAATATACTGGACAAAATATGAGATACGTGGGTGTGGAGGCACGAATATAGGGAGTGGCCGGTCAGTGTCCTCGGGCATGCCCGTGCGTGTCCACGGACATATAGTTGGGCGGATTTGCCAAGTCCGGTTGTAGATGCTCTAACATATGTGTGGTGTCATATAACACTTCATTTATCAGATTATATACTCATCTTGTCTTGGTATGTGTGATGTTACCCATAGTATCAGTAACTACATATGTTACTCAAATCATCTCTCCTCTCATTAAATCATTGCCACATAAGCAAATTTGCTGAGTTGGGCTCTATGTTACTACTTGAAGAAAAGAGAAAAGGCTAGGTTTCTTCTGTCTCCTGCTGGCTCCGCCGCCGGTCCGCCTCGTCTCCGATGGCTGGCGGCGCAGTGGATCCGGGTCCTTGCCGGCGAGAAGGCTCCGTCTTTAGATGTTCCAACAAGTTTTGTTAGGGTTTGTGTCCTACTGAGGAAGACGATGCAGCGGTGGCTTTCTGAAGATGGAATAAGGTTCTCCTCGTCCAGTCCCCATTCTGATGGTGTGTCTAGCATTGTCGGTGGGCGTGTGGAGATGTGTCTCCGATAGATCTGTCATTGATGGATTTGCTCGAATTTTATCATAGCTTGCCTACGTTCGTGCGTCTTGAGGTTGGATCCTTCCAATTAATGCCACTCTTCAACGGCGGCGGTTGCTGTTCTAGTGCGCTGATCCTATGAAGCCTTAACACGACGACTTCCCAACTGCCTACTACAACAAGGTTTGCCCAGCTCCAGCGAGGTAGGGGCAATGACGGCGGCGCGCCTTCGGCTCGCTTCAGTGCTTGTAGTCGTCGCTAGGTGGTCTAAGATCTAGATGTATTTTTTATTATTTCTAGCGTTCATTGTACTACCATGTTTGAAGATGAATAGATTGGAAGTTTTTCGTGAAAAAAAAAAGAAGTTACTCCCACTATGGGCAGTCCAAACGTCACCAAAGAGCCCGTGGTTTCGACACCGAAGAGCCACGGCGTTTCGGCTCCAAGCCACGGCGGTTTCCGACCATGCGGATCCTAACTAAGGGTACAGGCAATGTTGGGCGAAACAAAAGCCACATGGCCTAACACCACAGTTTTTTCACCCTATATACTTGCTCTGAAAACACCATAGCTCCACAGTAGGTCACAAGGCTTCCTGCAAATTCTTTCAGCCTGTAGGTCACAAGGCTTCCTGCAAATTCTTTCAGCCTGTAGGTCACAAGGCTTCCTGCAAATTCTTTCAGCCTGTGGGAAAGATCGCATGTCCAGCAACAGAATGTAGGTCAATCTCACCGAAACACTACTCACAAGACCCTTGAGAGAATAGGCTACCGCAAACAATTTTCAGGTCTTGCAGCAATAAAACTATAAAAACTACAGTAAATCTCTCTGTCAGCAACGCAGAAAAACAATTTTCTCTTTTCTTTTGGCAAACAGCAATGCAGAAAAACAAGTTGATGCGCGTCAAGTGGCACACACACGACACGAGGATAACCATCTGCCGAAACCAACATCATCTTCAGGTCCTTAAGCCCAATCCAATGCCGCTTCTTGGTACAGAAAAGGGTGAAATTACTTTGCAAATTTATAAAAAGATGGCGATCGAATCATTTCGGTAAACTCGAACTTTGGATGAAAGATCAACTACCAGGCAAGTAGGCGATTATAGCAAGATGCTGAGCCGGGGGAAGAGGAGGGAGGAGGATCAATTACCAAGATGCAGGTCCTTAAGCCCAATCTAATGATGTTTGTTGGATGAAAGATCAATTACCAAGATGCAGCATTCAGTCCTGGACTCCCCCAGGGCTGATGAGGATTAGTAGCAAAACTTCAGCCTGATAGAAAATAACAGAAACCTCTCCTTCCTAGCTAGAAATGCATAGGGGCCTAGGCTGCAGGGTGACCTTTGTAAGCATCAAACAGATTCTGTATGAACACTCGAAGAAAACTAAATCAGCAATCAAACATCTCGCGCTTTTGTATATGATAACTGAAAAGACAATGAAGTTTCCGACACAGGGATGTGTTCCTAGCACAGCTTAGGCAGAACAAAGCCATAAACAATTGTGCTTACCAGCTGTCTCCAGGTACAAATTCAAAGTCATATTTTTTGCATCCCTCCCCATCAGAAATTTTCCACAGTGCATTCTTTTTGCATCTAAAAGCATCTCTTGCAGTTTTAAGAGGGGCAACTTCATAAGGTACTTGAATTACAGAGGAACCTTAGACTAGAAAAAGAGCAGGCCTATGCGGAAGACTGTGAAATCATTTGACATCAACATCGCCTGCAAAACAAGCACAAGACACTAAGAACAGCGCAATCTTCAGGCATCAACCCTGTCTATGGCTGTTCGAAGGGGTCGGCCACTGACAAATCATGGACATGCCTGTGGAGATGAATCGCAGTATTGCGATGTCTACTCCTGAATTCAAATTGGGCATCTCGAGAAGCTCTGTTTTCCACTCGTAGCAGCGTGCGTTGGTAAGCCAGCGACACACTGTCCTTGGCACCATATATTCCTTCAAATTCCATATTTTTTAGCACCTTTGCATTCAAATTCCATATATGCCTCGGGTATCCTTTACTTGAGAGTGAAAAAATAGGCCCGCGCTCAGCCTTAGCGGCCCGGCCAAAGCCTAGTGTAGCAAACAACAAAATTATAAAAATAACTAAGCAACAAAAATACAAGTACTTTTTTCATTTCTTTTGGCAAACAGAAGTGCAGAAAATCAAGTTGATGAGCGTCAGACAGTACACACAAGGAACCCTGGCTGCCAAAGCCAGCATTATCATCAGGCCCTTGAGCCCAATCCAATGCTGTTTCTCAATCGGATTCCTTTCAGTAAACTCATGATCTTTCAATAAAAAGATCTACTAGGCAACCATACCATGTTTCAGCTGACACATGATAGCGTACCTTGAAAAATTACAGAGAGCTTTCACTCTAGCTAGAAAAGCCTGCCCTCCCTCCCTCCCTCCCTCC